TTTTTTTAACATTTGTTCATTTTTAAGAGACAGAGAGAACGGAGCATGAGCAGGGGAGGGGTAGGGGCAGAGAGAGAGGGAGACAGAATCCAAAGCAGACTCCGGGCTCTGAGCTGTCGGCACAGAGCCCGACGCGGGGCTCGAACTCACTGACCGAGAGATCGTGACCTGAGCCGAAGTCGGACGCCCAACCGACTGAGCCACCCAGGCGTCCCCTGCACTTTGCTTTTTTAACTAACTGCTAACTCTGGTGATTGCTGCACGTGAGTTAAGATACCAGCTTCCTCACCCTCCGTGTAGCCACAGAGTATCCCAGTGTGTGGAAAGTACTGGAATTTGTTGGTTCAGCCAACCCACCGCTGAGGGACCTTTAGATCGTTTTCGGTGAATCCCTACCAATGAATTAACTACGTAAGAGACTGCGTGTGAGTATATCTGTAGTTAATCCCATTTAAAAAAAATTAAAGAATAAACCATGGTCCATCTAGACAATGGAATATTATTCAGTGATAAAAAGAAATAAGCTCTCAGACGTGCAAGAAACTTAAATGCATTTTGCCAAGTGAAAGAAGCCAGTTTGAAAAGGCTACGTGACATTCTGGAAAAGACAAAAGATCAGTGGTTTCCAGGGGTGGAAAGGAAAGGATAAGAAGGTGGAGCACAGAGGATTTTAAGGGCAGTGAAAAACTACTTTGTATGATACAATATGATACATGCCACTACATATTTGTCCAAACCCACAGAAGGGACTACACCAAGAGTAAATCCTAATGGAAACTATGGGCTTTGGGTGACAGTGCTGTGTCAACGTAGGTTCATCAATTCTAACACATGTGCCGCTCTGGTGGGGGTGTTGATAATGGAGAGGCTCTGTGTGTGCGGGCGCAGGGGGTATATGGGAAATCTCTGTATCTTTCTCTCAATTTTGCTGTGAACCTACGACTGCTCTAAAAAAAAATTAAAAGTCTTTGAAAAGAAAACCGAGGCCCAGAAAGGTTATATTTTGCTTGGGGGTCACACAGCAAATCCTGGTCTGAGCGATCAAACCAGGTATAGCCGCGGCCAGAGCCCCTGTACCTAATCACCATACTGGACTGCCTCCTGTTAAGGCTTCAACTCAGAGGGGCAGACTTATGCTGAATCACAGGCATAGTGGAGTAAGTGGTGGGGGAACCTTCTTGACAACTCCTCTCTGATCACTCCTGAGTCCCGGAGCGTCCTGAGGGCTGGGGCTGGGAGAAGCAGAGGTCAGGTCCGGGCTGTCCTGGTACCCTTCCATTTCTCCATCTCTTACCCCTATCACCACCTCCCTGTCCTCACCCAGGACCTGTCCTAGGAGGGAGGTTCAGGTAGGAGTTGAGCCAGGACCCTCCGTCCTCTGGAGAACCCCTGGGCCTCAGAGAGCCCTCAGCAGGAGGGCCTTGCCCTTGCTCCCGACTAGGCTTGCCTGGCATTTGGGGCCCAGTCAAGGGGCCTGGAAATGAATGCAGCCTGAGAGGGTAATGAAAGCCAGTAGAGGGACCTGGGCAGCCTGTGGGCATTCCAGCCCACTCCCCGTGCCTGAGTTGACTGAGGTCTTTTATGAATGCAGCCCCTCACCCTGGGACATCCAGCTTCCCTTCCTCAGTCTTCAGAATGTCCCAGAGGCCGGGGTGTGTGTGCAGGCTTGTATGTCTGGGAGCCTTGGTGAGGGAGACTGAGAAAGGCATGTTTAAGGAGAATAACAGACAGACAGAAGTGGAGACAGGCGGCCTTGTCTCAGGGCTGGCAGAGACCCAGGCATAGAAAAAGAGAGGCAGAGATTGACAGAGAGAAAAGCCAAGAAATAGAGAGGCCGAAACAGAGTCATAAAGAGAATATACACGGAGAGAGGACTGAGAGCGTCAGACCCTTAGAGAATGTGTTGAGGGGTCAGTATGTGCCGGGTTCCTGGTGCCTACCAGTCCCACCGAGTACGTTCCCTGCACAGTGTGTCTGATGTTCCATTGGCCACACAGCACCTTCTCTTGAATGGCTCAGGCAGGGCAGGCACAGAGCTATCCGCCTGTCCACTTCTGTGCAGGAACCATTTTCTGAGTCTGAAGTCTAAAGGCAGTTCTGGCCTTTGATCACCATGATGGTTCCCACCGGTCTATGACCCCCTCGCCTCCTCCCTTCTGGATATTGGGGGGGCCTAGTTCTCACCAGCTGATTCTCCCCAAGGTCTGAGTTGGTCCTAATGTTGTGCTGTCCTGCACGAGGCCAGCCTGGGGAGAAGGAAGGGATAAAGGCACACACATACCCAGAGTCTCCATGTACAACTGTGCAGGTTGGGCACTGCACCAGCATGCCTCCCCTAAGATGAGCAAATCTCATCTGGATTGTCTATTTACAGTTCTTACTTCTAAGTTTTTATTTATTTATTTTTGAGAGAGAGATGGGGGAGGGGGGACAGAGATGGAGAGAGAGAGAAAATCCTAAGCAGGCCAAACGCTGCCAGCGCAGAGCTCGATCTCACAAACCTCAAGATCATCACCTGAGCCGAAATCGAGAGTCTGGGGCTCAACTGACCGAGCCACTCAGGTGCCCCTTTAGTTACAATTCTTATTGTCCGGCAGATGGCAGTCAAGCGACTTGTTCCAACGAAACCTCAACATTATGCCAGTTTGCCAACAGATGTCAGTAAAGCGTTTTGAAGAAGGGGTGTCTTTTTCTAATTAGCACAAAGGCACCGTAGGGGTTAGCAGGGGCCTGAACCGGCCCAGACCTGGGGAGTGGTTGACACTGGACACAGCAGAGCCTGGGAACTGGCCTCCAGAAGCTTCCATCCTGCCCCTCTGCAGAGGGGATCCTGGAGTCTCAGGCCAGGAGCTCCCCTCGGTTCCCCTTTTTCTACTAAAAGCATCATATTTCTTTTTAGCTCTGGATCCCAAACCTCAGATTTCTCTTTTTTTTCCCCCCTCCCCTCTCTCTCCATTAGTCATGGAGTCTTGCCAGATTTCCCGATACTGTCCCCCAGGGAGAAACGTTCTCTCTTCCCAGGTAGCAGGCAGGCCCCTCGTCCCCTTGCACACAGCTGCGGGAGGGGCTTTCTCCGACACCTCTCCAACAGCTGCTCCAGGTATAAATCCTCGGAGCCTCCCCATTGCCAAGAGTTTGAGTCCAAACCACATCAGGCCCCTCCTAGAGGGAACAGACTGATTCTGTGGGCCTGAAGGTGAAGGAGACCTAACGTGGGGCAGGATGTACCCAGGGTCACTGTTCTCCGGGATGCGGTGGGCCACCCTGAAAGTGGGCAAAAGCCTGGCCACCACATGGCTGGGAGCCAGCAGAGAGTCTCGAGTGTCAGTGGAACAACAAAGTTCTGCCACACTAGGGCTCTTGTCTATGTCTTAGTTTCCCTTTGTGACTCTCTCTCTCCACACTGCCTGGAAGAGGTCTGTGCTTGTAAGACTCTGGGAGTGGCGTGGAAATAGATGTTCTTGCCCCTTGGGGGCCCCAAACCTGAATTTGAATCCTCATTCTACCCTGTAGATGCCGTGTGAGCTCAGGCAGGTCTCCTGCCCTCTCTGAGTCTCCATCTCCATATCTCCTAAAGGAGGGTGTAACATCTCTCTCTCTCCCAAGATTGCTGTGAAGATTTTCTTTAAGTTCCTATTACAGGCATTTTTGAGCCAAGAAAGTAGTACAATGAACCCCTGTACGCTCATCACCCGGTTTCAACAGTTGTCAACCCCAAACCAGCCTTGTTCCCTCAGGAGTCTCCTTCCTAATCCCCTTTCCACTGGATTATTTAAGAGCAAATCTCAGATGCATAATCATTTCACCTATAAACACAGTATGTGTCTGAAAGAGAAAGGACTGTCCTTTTTTTTTTGCCATAAAAGGTGACAACGGTACTGTTATCACATCTGGCAAATGAATAATAATTATTTAATAATATTAAGATCCTTTGGTTTTCCTTGACTGTCTCATAAATGTCTTCTCACAGCCGATCTGTTTGAATCGTTTGTGATATGTTTCTTACATCCCTTCTAATCCATTACACATCCCTTTCCTCTTTTTTCTCCTTTGTTAATTGAAGAAACCAGCTCATTCCCTGGAAGCATTTTGCAGTCTGGATTTTGCCGACTGCACCCCTGTGGTGTCATCAACGTGTCCCGCGGTCCCCCATATTTCCTGTAAACTGGCAGAGAGCCTAGAGGCCTGACCAGATTCAGCTATGCAAGACTCTCGCTGCCTGTCGCTGTCCTCGAGAGGCGTGTAGAGGCTAAGTGCTAGGGTGGATCAGTGGGTTCAGCAGTTGTGCGAATAAAAAGGGAACAGGTGTGGAGAAGCCCTGAGGTCAGTGGCCGGGACATAGTCAGCGCTGTCTGACTGGCAGCCTTCACAATGACCTTGGACCTGTGGGGTTCTGGGACAAGGGGACAGTGAAAGGCAGTAGAAGTGGGGGGTCTGTTGGGTTCTATGAATTGGGCAACCAATGTCTTCCTTCACTGTGTGGGGTAGAGGGTCTTGTTCTAGGCTTTAGGTTTGCTCTTGAAAAAGCTGTGTCCCCAAACCCAATTTATGACCCAATTTGCGTTTCTGGGGAGTCCTTTGTGAGGAACTGTCACTCCTACCTCACACTGGGCCAACTTAGCCGCGGCTAAAATTCCAGGAGCCTTGACACCCCGTGTTCTCAGAGTGCAGCCTGGCTGCGGGTGCCTTTGCTTGGTTCCGCGGGTGTAGGGAGGCCTTGGACAAGGTTGCGATGCCCGACCCTCGATTTTGAACCGTCCCCTGGGCACAGTCCGCCTCCATCCACCCCGCGGTGTCTGGGGGGCAGGGGCTGACAAACCTGAGCGAATCCCCTCCCTCCCAATGCCGAGCAGGTGCGGGAGCTGACCGATGCGGAGTTCCCCCACTCCTTCTTGGTGTCTGGGAAGCAGCGCACCTTGGAGCTACAAGCGCGGTAGGCGGGGAGGGGGTGGGGGGATGGGCCCGGCGGGAAAACTGGGAGGGGCTCCTCTCAACACCGTGTTCACTTTCCGAGCAGGTCCCAGGAGGAAATGATTTCCTGGATGCAGGTATCAGAACGATCCAGGGCCCCTAGGATTCTGACCCCACACTACCCACCCAGGCTGAGGGGGAGGGTGGGGTGTGCGTGTACATGTTCATGGTGGGGGGGCAGGTGTGTGTGTGTGTGTGTGTGTGCGCGCGCGCGCGCGCGCCCGCGCGCGCGCATGCCCAGCTGCTCCCTGTGCTTCTTCAGGAGTCGGTCTGTGGTAGTTTGAAATCAGATCTGGGGTCAAATCTTGCTGCCTTTCCCTGCCTACCTGGGTGGCC